CGCTTTTTGATAAGAAACAGCGCCAGGTGAAGTTCGAGCTCAATCAGGCAATTGATGCAATTGGGCACTGGGAAATACAATAAATGAGTTCACACCCTGGCACCATCAGTAACTCATCAGCCTGCAAATAGAAGAGTTGCTGCCTCGTTGATAGACTGTAAGAAAGATGCAAGAAGACATATCCAGATTTATGATATGCGTTGCATGTATCGCAACACAGGGGCATGTGATTTGATCATTACCCCATGAAAGCTCAACGTCTTGCCCAAAGTTCGCATAGCCTGAGTCTTAAAGAAGAAGAGGTCTTTAATCAGCTCATTCAAATCTTGAACTAGTTTTCCCACCTTTCACAATGCGACTTGTTCGATCAGCCCAAAGACTAGATAGGTACTATAAACTCGAACTTTCTGATGCAGCTAGAAGCTGTTCAGCCAAATTTGGACTTCAAGCAACTGCACGAATCTAACAAATTCTAACAATATGAATATGATAAAGAGATAGTTAGATAGTATGAAGATATGAGATGATATGAGTCCAGCCTCATCTCGAATTTCTTTGCGAGCTGCTAGTTACCAAAGAGCTTCCAACCCAGCCTTGCAGGTAGATGGAAAGGCTGCAAGCCCGCAACACCGGCAATGTATTTGAGCTTCATCGATCCAGATTCATCCCCAAGAGAAGAGCAGAAACTCGAAAATCTTCACCCAGCAAAAGAGAACCTTGCTAGGGCGTCCGTTCAACAAGTTTCCACCTAAGCGGTTTCAGCATTTTGCAGAGAATCTCAGGGTTTGATTAGCCAGGTTCCAACAGCGATAACAGTCGGCGTCGGTCTCTTTATTCGCTTCATGCTGCCAATACCAGAAGGCCAGCAAGTATGATGAAGTTGTAGGTTTTTTGCTGCTGATGTTGTTCTTGGCGCAAATGTTGCAGGATTTCGCATTTTTCAGGCAAGGGGATTTATTGTACTATCAGTAAGAAACGCCAACAAGTTTTCGGAGGTTGTCAAGGTGGGGTGATTCTTGGATCCTCAAACCTAAGTCAAAGATATCTATAAGTTATATAAGTCAAAGGTTTATCCAGCTCATGAAGGATGTCTCCAGTGGCATACTTCTGCGTTAGTTGCGATGCCAGGTGTTTCCCAACAGGGCTGGTCAATCCTGGCGCTCTTCGTGGCGACAGCTGCTCGGCAGGAAGAGACTTTGTAAGCACAAGTCACAGTTTTGAAGCGTATCGCGCTGGATAAAACAATGAAAGAAGCGTGAACGCCAAAGCATTTTCTGTTACGTGGCAGTTGCTAAGATATGACGGACATTGATGGAAGGCGAAATATGCCAGAATAGCTTCGCAAGGTCTTGGGCATTGTCACACGACCGTTGCCAGCACCAGGCAGCAACACTCAGGTTTGCATGCATATCAATCAAACAGTGGAGACACCAGAGGTGTTGGGCACTGTTTGTCTTGAGAATAAAAAAGTGTACAGACGTTGTTGGGAAGCTGAAAAACACTGCTATGTCCGCCACAAGATCAGCGATTGGTGTTCAGCACCCTGCACTGAAAGCTAAGTCATGAGTAGCTTTGCTGCTAGGTGTGGCATTTTGCTCCCTTGCCGTTGGTTTGATGCGAAAAGCTCAGCACTTTGCTGTCAAACTTTCACAATGCGTTGAAAAGTCGGAGGTCAAACTCATTTGAGAGTTGCAGCTTCAAGCATGGCAGCGTTGGCTAGGGGTTCCAAATCTTTATTGAACTTCAAGACGGGTTGTGCCGCCCTCGCGGCTACCTTGAGGTCTAAGACGCCAGGATCTTGGAGTTTGGCACAAGGCGAAGTACGATCCTGTGCAAGTGAGGCATCACATAGGGCACAAGTACACTTGCACCCACGATTGAAAATCTGAAAGAGTCTGAAATATGAATCTGCTTTTTGCCTCTCTTTGCTTGGAACGGCAGCGAGTGCAATCTGGATACCTGGCACATCCTGGCACGGTGTTCTGAATGTCTATGAAAGACGGACAAATCTGAGGCTAACATTCAAAGAAGGAGTTGCGGCTTTCACAGATGAGGCGTCGGAAGACATGCCGCTTGGAAGATGGATGAATTGGGTTGGACTGCGACCCCACAAGTTGGCAGTGTGACATCTGTACCTTGAGACGGCTTGGTGAATTGAGACCACTGATGTGTATGAATGAGAACAACTCACGACAATGTGATTCTACTCCATGGCAGCTTTGCTCCGAAGAGGTCCGCAGAAGGTGCTTGGCATTGCTTGATATGCCTTGTTTATCATTGTTTCTATAGTTGTTGTTGTTCCAACTTGGAGGTCTTATGGCTAGTTGTCCTGGCATTCTTCTTCACGAAGGTTTGGACTGGTTTGCAATGCAGGGAGTTCGAACAGAAATGGCCACCTTTCACCGGGGTTGAGATGGGTTGAAGATCTCTGTATGTATTCAGTGTATTCCCTCGGCCCTCGAACCCATGTTGGAGCAGGGTCGAGCTGTCAACAATTGCCTCGCATTTGAAATTTATTTGTAGGAAATCGACCTGAAACAAGGCATGGGGTTCAAAAAAAAAATAAGGCATCAAAAAATAATATTCATTTTTCCTGCGCTGGTGCAGTGTTTTGGCCCTTTTATGCCATTTTCAAATCTCGTGGTGTTTGAATCTCCTGGTCCTTCAGTCCTCTCCCTTGGTCCCCTGGTCCCTTGGTCCTCTGGTCCCTTGGTCCTCCGGTCCCTTAACCCCTAAACTACCCCCCAAGCCAAAGTATATAAGTCTTAAACGAATCCTAAACCAACCCTCAATCAGCCTTAAACTAACCCCAAATAAACCCTAAACAAATCTTACATAAACCCTAAACGAAACCTAAACGAACCTTAAATAAGTTGTAAGCGAAACCAAAATCAACTTTAAACCAATCGCAAATAATCCCTAAACCAACCCCAAATAAACGCTAAGCCACCCCTAACAAACCATAAATCAACCGTAGATAAACCCTAAATAAATCCTAAGCAAACCCAAATAAACCACAAACCAACCCGACATAAACCTAAACCAACCCTGAACCAAGCAGAAATAAATCACTCAACCAACCTTAAAGACACCGGACCCAAGACCTACATAGACTTGAAACAAACCCAAAATAACCCCTAAGCCAACCCTACAGAAACCCTGAACCAACCCTAAATAACACTTAAACCAACCACGAACCAATCTCAAATACATCCTGAATCAACCCTAAATAAACTTTGAGCAGCACCTACACAACTCTTAATACCAACCCTAAACAAACCCCAAAACCAACCCTAAATATACCCTAAACAAATCCTAAACCAAACCTAAATAAACAAACAACCAACCCTCAATAGATCCCAAACGAAACCTAAAGCACAAAGTCTTGAACGAAATCAAAATAAACCCTAAACCAACCCTACATAAACACCAAAAAAATGTAAATAACTTTGAACATCTTTGAACAATATTTGAACTAAACCTAAATAAACCTTTTACCAACCCGGAATAGACACCTAGTAAACCATAGGCCAACCCTAAACTAACCCTACACCAACCTAAATCAACGTAGGCATCAAACCAAGCCTAAACCAAACATAAACAAGCTTTAAACCAACGTAAGTTTCAAAGCAACCATCGAAAATCAAAAATTCAAACTCCAAAGTGTTGCAGGTGCTGTCGAAACGGCAGCGTCGAGCCTTGCGAATGCTCGATTTCTAGGTCCAATGTCCTGCAAAAACCTTACGGGCGAGAGGCTCCACTTCCAAAACGATGCAAATACCACAGAAATGCTCGGTTTTGTCTCCAGACTGTTGCAAGGGCCATAGAAAACAGCGGGTTCCAGGGGAATATTTTTTGTTGATGCCTTAAGTACTTATTTCTTGATCCCCACGGGATTTTTTTGATGCCTTAAATATTTTTGCTTGATCCCTCACCCCTGAAACAATGGTGCTTGGCTCTGATTTTTTTAAAAGAATGAACTGATCAGAGTTAAACGATTTTCTCGCCTGAGGGCTTTGCCAAAACTGGCCTTGGAGAACGCATAGCTCTGAGCCGCAGCCTTTGTAGCTCTGTACCGAGTTGAAATGCGACAGTATGTGCCGCATATGGCCAGCCAGAACGACCAGCGATAGGATTTTGATTGATTGTGGTTCATCAAAAACTGCACACTGTCCGCATTTAGTCCACTGTCGCAGACCGAGGCATAGTTCGGATGGTGGGCGGCACCACCTTGGGCTTGGCATATGGCTTGAACTTGGCAGAAGGAGGCGCGACAGCTTCTGCTGCCATTGATGCGAAATTGTCAGCTTTGAGCTGGTGCGTGTTCAAGGTCATGCTAGATTCTGCTAGATATTCAGATCTTTTTGAGCCTTGTCATGGCTGCACACAGTTGCCCCACAGTGAGCCAAGTTGTGCATAGCCATGCCAAACCGAATTCGACGTTGCTATGCTTGACTAAAGCACAATGCTTGGTCCCTGGCCAGTTATCATTGGGTCTGTAGAGCTATATGTAGTACATAATCGATCCCCCTTACCATTTCCATTACTTTAAAAGGGTGAACACGTGCTGGGTGCCATCCCATTTTGAGGATAGAAATTGACTTCCAAAAATGAAGTCGTGCCTAGGATTTTGTAGTCAGCGATCATGCGCTGCTTCTTGTAGCGGCTTTTCACTTTTCTAGCTTAGCTCTTAAGAATCGGAACGGCATTTTGTAGTGATTCATGTTGGGATGCTTTGGGTCATACCAAAAAAAACTATAGTCTGCTTTTGCGGGCCATGCTGAGTCACAGAAACTTATGGCATGCGGACCCCCAGACCATTTTTGGTTCTTGACTTACGATCATTTCGTAGTAAGATGAGCCAAAAAAGGTCGGAAAAAATCAACAGCTTTTCTGTTTTTTAATGTAGAGACTTCAACAAGGAAAAATGGGACAAAATTGGTTTCAAAACCAATCAATTGAAGTTTAAGTTGTGCGCTTAAATTGTCTTTGTTGCCCCATAGCTCTGACGATTGCAGTTCAAAATCTCCGCGCCGTGCTTTTGTCACCTTTTTTGGCGATTACATGCGATTACTACTAATCGTCATAATTAAATGTATCCCATTCTACTAGATTCCTGCTCTTTTTGTCCAATAGTCAAGTTTCACCCAAGTTCAAAGAATCCATGCTCAGAGTTCACCCACAAAGCACAGATTCGATGTGTGATGTCCTAGTTTCTGGATGACTTTTGTCATGCACACTGCATTTTGTAGTAACACGCGCGTGCACAACCTTTTGTAGAACCCACTGCGTCCCCCTCCAGATAAGCCCCCAAAAGTTCGAAAAACATGTTTTTTATGTAGAGACTTTAAGAAGGAAAAACGGAACAGCTTTGGTTTCAAATCGTACATATACGTACATTTACTATACACATTGCATACTGCACACACACACATTAAATTATACTAAATTGTATCAATTACATTGTATTATATCTCATTATAATATAGTATTTAATCAGAACGGGGGGCCACGGGGAAAACCTTCAAAATACCGATGTCGTTTTTTGGTGAAAGGTCTAGGCATCCCAGTGTACCCTTGTTCGGGGTATAATTGTGTATATTTATGTATGATAGTTGGTTTATAGTTTATAGTTTTTAAAACATGCGTGCAGTCCCACTTATGATTGGTAGAACCCCGATGGCTGCTGTGCGGTGTTCCTTGCTAGTGCTGGCGGCTGGGATGCCTTCTTCAGCGGCTCGGGCCGTGCTGGCCCAAGAACAGCGAACACTGGCTGAAGCAAATTACACTAACCTTATTTTGGCACAAAATATGCAGTTCGACATTTTCATTGTGGTTCACAAGGGGGGTTTATGGTGGTTCTATATGAGAGTCGAACCAAGAAAAGAGCAGCGTGCAAGGCAGCACCAGACATCGAGCGAGCCAGTTGAATCCGCCCATGTGTCGCCCCAAGGCCGGAGTTATGTATCCTTTGGTCGACTCAGTGGCCAAGGCACCGAGCGAACAGAACCAAGATGAACCAAGCTGTCAAAGTTGCTTTAAAGAAAGTGCATCTCTTGGGACCTTTCGCGGCCTTTCACAGTAACTTTTCTTGTCGCTGTGATCCTGGTTTTTGCACTTGGTTTGCTTGAAGTAGGTTGCTGGAATTAGTTTGGCATGTTTTTACACACTGTGCCTAATCCGCAGCGAAGTTTTTTCTGCGGACATCAAGCAATCCAGCTGCATACGGTATAATGGTATAAGTTGTTTTTTTGCAGGGACCCTTCATGGTACTCTTTTAAGTTGTGCTCACATGGTCATGCAAGGCTTGTAGCGGAGACAAGAGAGCTACTTGGTGCACACTTATTTTGCAGCTGTCAATGGGCGTGTTTTCAAAAAGGGTGAAGGTAGCGGTGCGCCAGCATGCTAAGGACAATACAGGCGGATTCCTGATACAAAGTGCTTTTCAAGCCTGGATCCTGGCATCCTTCAGCGACAGGTCCGATCAAATCTATGGTGAGCTGCCGTGTTGCAGCAGCTAATGACAGCCTGAGGCGACAGGTATCTCCTCGTCTCTTTGGCTTTACGGTGCAGCCACCAACCTCTTGATGTTGAGGCCACAACACAGTCACAACAATTGCAGAGCATGTAGAGGCATGTAGAAATCATAAATCTGATGCAGAACTGCCCAACAATTGCCATATCTAATGACAACATAAATCAACATGATATGACATGTCTGCAGGCTTTCGCCTATCCTAGATGCCTTCTCATGCCACTGCCAAATGTATTCGCAGGTTGGCTGCTGAGTTGGGCTATGTGGTGAATGCACCTTTCATGAGCTGGTTGAAGGCGTTGGAAAGTCAGATACTTTAACATCTTTAACACGTCGCACGCGTTCAACTTCTCGAAACATTCAAACTCCAGACCGCTGTGCAAGTCCAAACCATGAAGATCATGAAGGGTAATGATGTTCTTATTGTTTCTCTGTAAATTCTCTTATTGTCACTTTCTTGTTACGCTGAGATATGAAAATTATCTCCAAACAAATGAAACGAAACATAGAGTCATATAAAATCGCCATAAATCGCAGCAAAGCTGATAAGACAACATCAAGCTTGAAAGATTCGGGACAGGCGTGAAGAAGTTGCGTCATCTAACCCACCGTGAGGCCAGCTGCGTTCCAGCCTTGACTGCTATGGCGCTGATCTCAGCACTGACCAAGCCAGCCACTAGTAGCTACTGCAAATGCATGTTTTCCTAAACTGCATTGTCACATACAGGGTGAGGGTTCATGGTTGGATGTCTCTTGGCAGATTCTGGTGCCTCTTGAAAATGCCTGATGTATCTTCAGAATCTTCAGAGGTTTGCTACAATACGTTTTGAATGTGGTTGATCAGGAATGTCTTTATAAGCCGGATAACGGGGAAGTTGCTAGCATCAGCATGGGGAAGTAGCTGGCAACCGAACTTGTACTTGTAATTCGGCCGTATCATGCTCGCACTTTGTTTGTCTTTTTTCAAGCAGCATGTGTATTCTGAAACACAAGAACCCATGTGAACCCAGAATGGTCAGTTTGCTGCTTTGCATGCCGCGCATGAGCTGATGGAAAGGCCTTGACGCCCCTGGTGGCCTTCACGGCAATGCCTCCAAAGGTAAGGACTGCGCCAAGCGAATCGAAGCTTCGTCAGAGCAAAGCCGTCGGCCATTCTCCTCTGGTTCCAGGTGAAGGTTACGCCTGAAGCACCGAAAGCAGCCGACAGGAAGTTGAAGGAGACCCTTGGTTCAGAAATAGGTTGCCTAGATTTTGAGATGCGCTCATTTGCTCTCAGCACAGATTGCTAGCCTCAACAATCTTCAACTTCTTCAACTTAAAGAGTTTTTCGCATGTTTTTGGTCAGATTTGACAGCGGTGCAATTTAAAATTTGAGGATGGGACCGATGTCAGCGGACGAGGCCGAAGAAAATTAAGCCACAACCTGTCACGTTCCTGTCGAGTCTAGATCAGCAACTGGATTTATCTGGACGGGATTCAGATTCCTCTAGTTCCAGTTCCGGTTTCGCTGAGTCCTCTGAGTTGGTCGATCTGGCTATAGGTGATTCTTGTCGCTGCCACTGCCTCAAGGATTCGCCCTGATGCGGACTGGGTGGCGAATCAATAACTTTTTAAGCTGGGGGAGCATTATCGCCGCGCAGCCTCACCAGTGCCAAGGTTATAGCAGGTATGCTCGTACTTTGGGCTGGTTCCTCCACCTTCGGGACCGGCAAAGTCGCAAGATGTCGCAAGGTAAACCGAATGGATTCTAAAAGTGCAACACAGTGCAACACGGTGCGACATTTTTCACGAGAGGTTTCTTCAAGTTTCTTCCAAAATGCAATATCCACTACCTACAGCAGATCGCGTTTTGAATCTACATCCGGAGCTCTTGTAGCTGACGAGGATTCCTGCTGTGCATACAGCAGTCCTGGGATTGAGCGCCGTAGCCTCAAAGATTTGATGGAAAAACAGGTTTCCGAAAAGGAAGAAAGTTTATGAGTAGGTTCAGGGTTCCATCAACCTTTATTTATCTCGTCTTCTTCTTAACACCTTTTGTGAAGCTTAAAACGCCTCAACAGGTTCTCAAGACGTGGAACAACGCAGAGTTCGTCATAAAACAAAAGTTGCGGTGTGACAATGTGAAGCCCATATACATGCGTTCCAAAGACAAGTGAAGCAAGGAACTTAAGGAACTTGCTTCCGAGAATTTTCTTGAAATCCGCGCGAAGAAATTCATTTATAGGCTATAGGTGACCGGGCAAAATTTGAAGTGGAAACTCTTGGGCTCCCAGCAACAGCAGCTGCAACGCGATGACGCCGACACCCTTGGAGTCAGCTCAGTCAGCTTAGGCGCTGCTCGTCACGGGAGTGCTCAGATGGTCTGATTGTGTCAGAGAAGAGGCAGGTTTGACCAGAAACGCATTTTTGAGCGGCAAAGTACAGCTGTGAAGCGCCAAGCATTATAGTCTGGGTTTTCCTGTCACGAAAGCTTGCTAGCTGGAGTTGGATTTGCTTTAGCAATGAATTGTGGGCAGACTGGACGCAGCTGCCATGATTTTTCATGTCGAACTGTGACCCCCCCCTCCCCCTCGGGCTCAAACCCCGCTGCATGCCCACGCACACACAAGATGATACTCACCGTGAGTGTGGAATCGAAACTAATGCAACGTAATGCAACCTAATCTAATGTAACGTAACCTAATGTAATGGAATTTACATGAATTTACTCTGATGTAACATAATGTAATATAAAATAATATAAAGATATATAAAGTAATGTAATGCAGTGTAATGTAACGTAGTGCAAGGCAACGTAACGTAAAATAATTTAACATAACGCAATGTAATGTAATGAGATGTATACGAATAGGCCGTATTGAACTTATACTACTTGCATTAAATTGTAAGTAAGGTTTAACTTGAGTTTACCTACGTAAGGTAACTGGATGCCAAGTAGGCAGTAAGTAGGTTGTTTGTAAGAGCCTACTTGTAGTTACTTGAAGTAACTTTGCGTCTATCTAAGCTACTTGGAAAGTGGGAATTAAGTAGCTGGAGGCTGTTTGTGTTTAAGTTGCCTAAGTTTGTTCTTAGTTACTTCTACTTATGTTCTACTTATTTCTATTTAATTGACTTATGTTTTTTATTTGATTTTTGTGTTTTGCAATCGCTATGAAGTTTGGATTTGTTTGCTTAGTTTTTAATTGAATGCTTCTTTTTGATGGAAAGTAAAGTTTTTCGTTGGTTATGTGTCAATGTTTTCGTTTGAGCATTACATGCAGAACTGGCCGTTGAAGGTGAGCAGCGGTGTGTCCGCTCTTGCTGTCTGCAGTGCAGGTATTTGTTCATGATTTCTCCTCTTGCTGAGTGTCTCTTGCCCTAAACCCCCGTGAGCTCTGCTCTTTCTTTTCTTTGCGCTATTTACGCTACCTCTGCCTGTGCTTGCGTATTGCCTTGCGCATCGGTGGCCTGTGCTATCTCTGTGGTAACTCTGTGGTATCTCTGTGATATCTTTGTGCTATCTATACTATCTTGTGCTCGGACCGGTGCTTGCTCTGTGCTATCTCTGTGCTATCTATGCGACCTTGTGCTGGGGACTCTGTGCTATCTCTGTGCTATTTCTTTGATATTTCTTTGAAATCTTTGTCTATACTCCTTGTTATCTCTTTCTAAAGCTTGACGTCAGGAACTCGCAGTTCCAAATTTGATGGTGTCCCATGATTGCCCATGTTCGGTTTCTCAGCAGCCCCTGGGCCCCAAATTCAGCACTTTACCCTTTCAGGTCGTTCATATACCCTGTCTAGTCTTTCGCGAAAACGTAGCAAAAGACCTTCGTTTGGAGAGCCTCAGGCCCACGGTTCTTTTTAATACATTGCGTACATACATACATATATATATATATATATACTCAAAATACTTAGATATATTCATCATAGACATTTGTATATATAATATGGCACGGACAAGAACAAGGAAGGAAAGGCCGCGGGAAAGAGGTTCAATCAGATGATTGCAAAGTGGCTCAACCGAAGCGCGTTCGGTTGGGGCACTTTGTGTTTAGCAAGTAGGGTACTATCAGTGTAGCGTTGACGCTTGTATGCTAAGATGTCAGGGGGAGGGTTGAGGAATGATTATGGTGCATGCGAGCTAGAAGATCATGATATTCTCTCAATACACATCTCTCCTTCTTTGTTCAGATCTCATCCTTTTGTCAGCATAACTTTGTCTCTGCGACGGTTCCATTGGTTTTCAATGGTGGTAGAGCATGTAGAGCTTTACCAGGGGGCATGGACAACCATGACGTGGTTCGCCATCCTCGTGAGCATGAGCGCCCTGCTGAACAAGCATGGTGTTGTGAGGCAAGTCTTGATTTGGAAGTTGACAACTTCACAACGTTCACAGCTTTAGAACAGAGACGCTCAAAGCAGATCTTCAATTATGCGAACGACCCAATGGGACAGTGAAACGCGTTTGAAGCACTTGAATGCACTTGCCCAAGACGTCCGAAGTCTTTACGGCCAACATTGCCCACATTTGCCATTCAATGTTGCTATGGGTCCGGCTGTAAAGGTGGCTTGCAGCTGAGCTGGCTCTGAAGATCAATGCTTTGGGGCTTTTTGGAGGCTTGATGAGTACTGTCAAAGAGCTATTTTCCATTGTTTTTCCCATGTTTTCGCATGATCTGTGAATACATGTGACTTTCTTGTATTCTTGAAGCGTTTGGAATCACGCCTGACAAGGTCAGGCCTTCATGGTACTGCTCTTGATCTACGTGTTTTTACATTACGTCTTCGCATCGCAGGCCGAATTGGGGCCCCAGTGGTTGCCTGTCATAGGCTGCATAGACCATGACATTTCAAGCCCCGACTCTTTGGAGGCAGCCCAAATCAGCGCGTTGTATTTACCGTTCGTTGCCATGATGGCTGGGTTCTTGGATGTCGAAGATGAGATCCACATAGATCCGCAAAGTATTGAACGTGTTTGAAGTATATATTTAGATTTACCCAGCTTTGCAACCCAACAGCAGGTTTCCAGGGTTGCAAGGTTGCAGGTTTCGAGAGTTCCAAGGTTCCAGAGTTCTAGGTTACCAGGGTTCCAGGGTTTTGTAAGGGTCTTTGTTTTTCCCGAGAGCGTCTGAGCGCAGGGTTCTTCCAATAGTGGGGGTCTGTAAAACATCTTCTCATCTTCACATCTCATCTTCACATCCTCTCATCTTCACATCTCATCTTCACATCCTCTCATCTTCACATCTTTTCATCTTTACATCCTCTCATCTTCACATCCTCTCATCTTCACATCCGCTCATCTTCACATCCTCTCATCTTCACATCCTCTTATCTTCACATCTGCTCATCTTCACACCTTCCCATCTTCACATCTTCTCATCTTCACATCTGCTCATCTTCACATCTGCTCATCTTCACATCTGCTCATCGTCACATCTGCTCATCTTCACACCTTCCCATCTTCACATCTTCTCATCTTCACATCTGCTCATCTTCACAGCTTCCCATCTTCACATCTGCTCATCTTCACATCTGCTCATCTTCACATCTGCTCATCTTCACATCTGCTCATCTTCACATCTTCTTATCTTCACATCTTCTCATCTTCACATCTGCTCATCTTCACATCTGCTCATCTTCACATCTGCTCATCTTCACATCTTCTCCTCTTCACATCTGTTCATCTTCACATCTGCTCATCTTCACATCTGCTCATCTTCACATCTTCTTATCTTCACACCTGCTCATCTTCACATCTGCTCATCTTCACATCTGCTCATCTTCACACCTTCCCATCTTCTCATCTTCACATCTGCTCATGTTCACATCTGCTCATCTTCACATCTTCTTATCTTCACACCTGCTCACCTTCTCTCTCATGCCTTCTATATATCTTTCTCTCTTAAGGCCGAGGGTGGTGCCGGCGGCGAGTCACGAAACGTCAACCCTTTGGCAGGAAATGAGGGTCGATCGGCAAAAACTGAGGTAAAACTGCGATTTGACTTGTCCTGGAGCAACCCTTTCGCACGAAATGAGGGTCGATCGGCAAAAACTGAGGTAAAATTGCGATTTGACTTGTCCCGGAGCAACCCTTTCGCACGAAATGAGGGTCGATCGGCAAAAACTGAGGTAAAATTGCGATTTGACTTGTGCCGGAGCAACCCTTTCGCACAAAATGAGGGTCGATCGGCAAAAACTGAGGTAAAATTGCGATTTGACTTGCCCCGGAGCAACCCTTTTCGCACGAAATGAGGGTCGATCGGCAAAAACTGAGGTAAAATTGCGATTTGGACTTGCCCCGGAGTCAAACCCTTTTTTCGCACAAAGCAGGTCCGATCGTCAAAACTGGGGGGTGACTGGTTCTTTTTTTTTGGTTTCTTTCTGTTTCCTTTCACTTCTCCCTTCTTTTTTTTTTTCAGCCAGATTGGCAAAAACTCCAAGAGGAGGAGGAAGCAGGTATGGGGGGGGTTAATGAAGGTGTGGACGGGGAAAAGAAGTTGTAGAATAGGATTAGAGTGATGGGGCGGGAAGGTGAGCGGCACAGCTAACGGAGTGGGTGCGGTCAGAGGATCGGAAGTAAAGGTAGAGGGGTAGTAATATGCCCCTTGTTTGGCCTTTAAAGCTTGTTAAGTTGTTTAATTTGTGAGTATCAAACCTTATGAGGTTTTTTTGATTTGTAGTTCTGTTATGACATTTGAGGTCCCTTTTTATAAGTAATGTTTAGATATGAATTTTTTATTCCGTTTTCTATTTCCCTGTCCCTTTTGTGGGGGGAGGTAAAATTGCGATTTGACTTGTCCCGGAGCAACCCTTTCGCACGAAATGAGGGTCGATCGGCAAAAACTGAGGTAAAATTGCGATTGACTTGTCCCGGAGCAACCCTTTCGCACGAAATGAGGGTCGATCGGCAAAAACTGAGGTAAAATTGCGATTTGACTTGTCCTGGAGCAACCCTTTCGCACGAAAATGAAGGTCGATCGGCAAAAACTGAGGTAAAATTGCGATTTTTTTTTTTTCCTGTGCCCGGAGCAACCCTTTCGTCTGTGTGTAAAAGCGTCTGTGTGTAAAAGTGTCTGTGTGTAAAAGTGTTTGTGTTTGTGTGTCAAAGCGTCTGTGTGTAAAAAGCGTCTGTGTGTAAAAAGCGTCTGTGTGTAAAAGCGTCTGTGTGTAAATGTGTTTGTGTGTCAAAGCGTCTGTGTGTAAAAAGTGTCTATGTGTAAAAGCTTCTGTGTGTACAAGCGTTTGTGTGTAAAAGCAGCTCCTGTGTGTAAAAGGGTCCGTGTGTAAAAGTGTCTGTGTGTAAACGTGTCTGTGTGTAAAAGTGTCTGTGTAGAAGCGTCTGTGTGTAAAAGCTTCTGTATGTAAAAGCTTCTGTATGTAAAAGCTTCTGTCTGTAAAAGCTTCTGTGTGTAAAAGCTTCTGTGGGTAAAAGCTTTGTGTGTAAAAGCGTCTGTGTAAAAGCGTCTCTGTGTAAAAGTGTTTGCGATGCAAACTATTGTCTTGCACTTCTCACTATTTTGTCTTGATACTCCTCTTCTCGACTGCCTATAACACAGCTTTCATATACCGTTTCTAAAATTGCATCTCCATACTAACAAGAGAAGACCCTGCTCCTCTACGCTCTCGGGCCATCCGTCGTCTAGTTTTTCAATAACGAAATGACCAGCGCCATGCAAAGCGAACGCAAAACACAATTGAGCTGCTTCAGTTTGTAAAGAAAAAACATTATCATCCACGGCAAAGCGTCAACTCTACAGCTTCACAAGGTTCCAAGGTTCAAAGTTTTTCACAAGGGTTTCGGTTTCCAGCCAAGGTCAAGTTCGGGGTTACTCTAGGGCTTCATAGTTCCAACTCCAAGGTTGCTGGTTCCAAGATTCCATGGACCAATGGACCCGCACTATGAGGGTCCAAAAATTCACAGTTTCAGGTAAAGCTTGAGGGTCCCCAGTGCACAAGGTTACCGGTGTTCACGGCAAGGGCTCCAGGAATCCACAGGTGCAGTTTGCATGGTTTCAAAGCTCGGTGGTTTCAGCGTTCCGGGATCTCAGGGTTCCAGAGCACTCCAGGGTTCCAAGGTTGTAATGTCACAGGGCAAAAGTTCCAAGCTTGCACCAGGATCCCAAGGATGCAGGTGTCCAAGCTTCTAGCATTAATTCCAAGATTTTAGGGTTCCAGGATTCCAGGGCCTTTCGTTCCAGGTTTTTCACGGTTCCATGGTTCCAGGATTTAATGACACATGAAGCAGCTTGGCACAGAAAGCGGAGATCAATGCAAACTAATAAAGCAGTTCTCAAACTAGGCTACATCCGCAAGTTTTGTTATGGCTTCTTGAAAGGTTCCTGCAAGACTTCCTGCAAGGCATTCCTGCAAGGGCTCCAGCAAAGGGTTTCTGCAAGGTTCATGCCAGGGTTCCACCAAAGGGTTCCTTCAAAGGTTCAGGCAAAGATCCCAGCATCGCAGTTTCAGCAAGGGGCCGCAACATCAATCAAGAAAGAAACAAAACCCAAAGAAAATCTTGAAGTTGTCTTCATATAGGTCCAGACGGGTTGCAAAACAGTTCCAGCAAAGTTCAAGCCAGACTTCCAAAATCACAACCCGGCACATTAAGCGAAGCAAGAAAAAATAAAAAAGGAAAACGATATCCACACCTGCATTGTCTACCAGCAAGAGGGTTTCAAGGAGGTTCCAGCAAGTTTTCACCAGGTTCCAGAAGAGTTCCAGCAATGTTCCAGCAAGATCTCAGCAAGGTTCCAGCAGGGTTCCAACAAGGTTCCAGCAAGGTTCTCACAAGGCCAAGGGTCGTCCCAGCAGCGTTCCGGTTTTCCGGAGCATGCATTTTGCTGGCGCCACCCCCGGCCCCAGAGATTGAAACCCAACAGAATCGCTGTTGGGAATATCCAGATAATCTTGAACAATTCAAGACATACTGTATGTGTTACTGGACATTATTTAACAGCCCACTCCGCCGGCCCTCTGGCCTCTGGCCTACAGGCCCAAAGCAGGGGTTGTGTAAAGCTGGTTGATGTAAAAGGTTGGTTAGATGATGATGATGATGATGATGACGACGACGACGACGAATAAAGTGAGTGCTAGTTCCCTTAAGAAAAGAGACGAGGCTAGACCAGACGAGACTAGACTATACTAGACTTTGCTAAACTGTACTAGACTTACTAGGCTATAGTTGGGGGGAGGAGGAGGGCAGGGCAGGGCAGCCAAAGCAAAAAATCTTCCGAAGACATGATTTCAGGAAAGCTATAGCAACAGCTACAACTGGATTTCAACCTAAACCTATAGCCTATAGCTATAGCCATTACAAGTAGGTTTCAGCCTCAAGCTGTAGCTAGAACTAGATTTCACCCTAAAGCAAGAACAAGATCAAGCCATATTGCTGGAGCTAGGGCTAGGCTAAAATCTAGAGCTAAAATAAGAGCAAGGAACTGCTGTAGCTAGGACTAGAACTCCAATTCGAACTAGAACAAGATCAAACTATAACTTTTGTTCGAACTAGAATTCAAAAAAAATCAAACAGAACAAGTTAAAGCTAGGGAGCTATTTCTAACAGAAGCTGAAAAGAAGTTTAACTTATAACACAGGCTAAGTCAGGAGATACTTAGAATTGGGACTCAACCGGACGTGTACCAAGCCTCAACCGAAAGGCTCTACCCAGCCGGAGCCATGCAAGCAAAGCAAAAATCCGTGCAAAAGTAATCTTTAGGTGAAGCTAAAGCTATCACAAGATGCATCACAAGAATATCAAGAAACCACGCCGGCAGGCCGGCGGATTAGATACACATATTTGCTTAAACAAGTTGAATCGCGACTTCTCCAGATGACATCTTTGCCACAGATGAGTTCTCTTCTTGGAAGTGCGAGGAAGTGCTTGTGTGCTTATCAGTCTTTGGGGCGAGTAGTTTCACAAAATTGTAAGGTTGACACTGGCACTCCTCCATTGGCAGCTGTGTTTGCGTTTCTTGGCCAAGCGGAGCAGTGAATCAGCACACCAGGTGTTTTAAGAAGAAGCAGTGTGGCGCAGCTCCCCTGCACCCAAGGTTGGCTTTTGCCTCGAACTTGTTCGGATCCATCACACCGTACTCATCAGCGCAGGCCTGCGGCTCAGAGATCTCCAGATCGAAGCATCAATATATAAGTGACTTAACAGTGCAGACATTGCATGCATTGCACGGAAAACATAGAAACACATTTTGACGATACTGCGGCTTGAGAGACATGCCTGACAAACATGTCTCATCATGTTCGTATCATTTTCCCCACGCTGGATTGAATTCAAGCAGTCCATTTATGCTTTTGTTGTTTCTGAGGCGCCAGTTTTCTTTGGCGGCGGATACGTTTCCCTGAAAGACTGGTACAGGCTGGTTGCCTAGCAGCTGTGACAACTGCTGTGCAATAATCAACCGTTGTTCTTTGTCACATTCGCCTTGCGCCCAACATAGCGCATCTGCGACTTCCTTAACTGAGGCTGGGGTTCATATTCATTGTCTTCAACATCGCTGTGTGGGTTTCTTGTTCCGCATTTGGAAACAAAAAATGCCGCTGCAGGCAACATATATAGAGCTTGATTTCCCTCCAACCGACATCTTCAATTTGCCAGGTTTCTGTTGGCGCGCTGTGGTGGAAGGTGTGGCTACAGCTACAGAAACGGCTACGGTTTGTTTCGAATGGTTTGCTGTCCCGACCTGGTGAAGGTCATTGGTTTATATTGAACTGGCACGGCGAGACCTGCGGACGACCTTTCGCCTTTGAGGCGGGAAGTCTGATTCAGACCGCAGCAGATGGCTACGATAGCTAGGGGCTGTGGGAAGACCTTTCAGCTCGCTCACCGCTTTGGATGAAGTTGCTACAGCTGGGTTTCTTGAGGATCGCGCCCCCCAAACTTTGACGTCTGACTCCCTCCATCGAACGGTTTTTCCCCACTTTCCTGAGGGTATCTAGATTTTCACAAAGCACCCCACCTCTCTTCCTTCTCCTTCTTCTTCCCCTTCCCCTTCTCCCTTCGATCCTTCCTCCCTCCCTCCCTGCCTGCCTGCCTGCATTCCTTCCTTCCTCCCTTCCTTCCTTCCTTCCTTCCTCCCTCCCGTCCTCCTCTTCTGCTCGCCAACTTCCTCGATAGCATGGCAGATAGAAACAGATAGAATGCCAGATAGGATGTCACAATTTATGCGAGGTAGAATGCTAGAGAACATGTCAGTTTCATTGTCGGATAGGATGTGAGATAAAATGTCAGAAAGCGTGCCAGATAGAGTGAATATATGTCTGGTAGCATGTCAGAATATATGCCAGATAGAGCATCAGAAAACATGAGACATGAAAATGCCAGATATCAGATAGTATAGCAAGATAGATGTCCGATCGCATGCCCAAATGTATGCCAAGTAAATTATGTCAGCTAAAATGCCCGGCTATATGCCAGGTAGAATGTCAGAATGCACGTCATTTAAAATGACTGCTAGTATGTCAACTGCTTTGGCAGACAAGATGTCAGATGGATTGACAGGATCTATCTCATTTAAGACGTCAAGCGTTATGTCAGAATATTTGCCGCGACGGGATCACATGAAGAAAAGAAATTGTGTGTCTTTTTGCTTTCTTGCGTGTGCTCTGTTTGCGCTCTCTCTGTCTAAATTTACCTTAGCTCCCGGGGCTTTGAATGGCAGAGCGTTGGCGCAACACTAGTGCCACCAGGAAGAGACCGAGTAGATTGGGGTTGCTCTGGTGTGGAACTAGAATAAATAAACTTTTTTTTGAAACGCGTTCAAATTTTAGCACGCCTATTAGTGACCCCTGCCCGTCCAGGCCCAATGCAGCAGAAGCCTGATTGGCTGCTTGAAAACAAAGCGACGGTGTGTGCATCATTGAACGTTTTCAGGATTTTACCAAACCAGGTCCAAGGCTTCCTGTGCACTTGTATGGAAAGAATTTTGGCACGTTTGGGCTAGACCACCTCAGAATGTTATGAATATTGCCGCCGATGAGAAACCAGAGGATGGCAGCTTAGCCGGTGAGCATTCAGTTCTCCATTCCGCACTTGGGCCTACAGCCAAATTTGGGTGCCTGTCACGGATTCCTAACCCCACTTGGCACTGTGTGTTGAGGTGGTAGGCTTGGTAGGCTTGGTTGGCGGGCCCCACGCACCCACGCTTGGTGGGATAGCCATACGCGCGTTGTGGAGTTCAGAGCAGTTAAAAGCTGGACAAGTATTCATAAACAGCGCAGGAGTACACCACACACAAACAGAAAGCGTGCAGAAACAGGCCAGGAATTGCCAGGGCAAGTATTGTTGCTCAGGCATGCGCCGTCACCATTGCGGTCTTGCTGTAGTTTTCTTCTTTGGGCCAATTTTAGTTTGTTGGTCCGCAGAGATGGGCAGCTGTCAGGTATTGCAACTCATTTGTCGTCATAGGGTGGCGAAACAGTTTCTTGTGTCCATATTTTCGTATTGTGTACAGGCCTGGCTTGGTCGCAAAAAATATGCCCCACAAGCCGACTCGTATCATGCAGCTCCAAAGATGCCACTTTCTCCAACATCCATTCTGTTAGTGCGGGTTGCCAAAGGTTGCCATATATAAATGTCTTTACTTTGTACTCTTTCTACCGACCGTAGTACACACGTGGCATCTAAAGAAATGGGATTAAATCGGCCGGGCCTCAGGTTGAATGGTTGAACCATGAACTTGACGGTCGCCAAAATGCCTGCACCTTAAATTTCCTAATGACCGCGCAGAGACACTTCAGTGACTTGGTTTGTGTGTGATCATGGCTTAAAGGTGCAGCGGCGGAGGAAATGGTCCGCACCATGTCAAACATTGAAGGTTTAGCAGGTGGAGATTCTTTCGACTCATCAGCCCCTTGTTCGCATTCCTTATTTCATCGCCAGGGCCATTTTTGCTCGGCAGGAGTCAGCACCCTGGTTTTTGCAGCTGCTTAGCTAGTAGAGGTGCTGGGTCCACGATGGTGATGAGCGCGTATTATGCAGGACAGACAAGCTTCTTCGGTGACAACACTCCCCTTCCAATCGAGTCCGGTTATGCCATTATTCTTGGCTTCGGAGCTTTCTTTTCGGTGTTGACGACAATTTTGGTGTACTTGGACAAGTATGCCAATGGCACGGAGCACACATCTGAGTTCTTCAACACAGCAGGCAGAAGTGTGAGGACAGGTCTAACTGCATCCGTGATTGTCTCGCAATGGACTTGGGCAGCAACATTGTTGCAGTCTTCCAATGTGGCTTGGAATTACGGTGTCTCTGGGCCCTTTTGGTATGCTAGCGGGGCAACAATCCAAGTGACTTGGCGATTAAGGTGGCCAAACCTGGGGGCTTGCATTCTGCCTTGTCTTGTCCGAAGATCCAATGACACGCAATGATTCAAAGCTTGAGGGTAACAAATTCAAACACAGCCCACCAAGAAATCACAGACAAACCATAAGAATTGACCCAAGAAGGATCAACAAGCACTGCTCTTACCACTGGCAAGGTGCAGGCAGGCCATACAAGGGTTGGTAATTTCAAATTAAAAAATGTGGCCTGTCATGGCTTAACTTCAACATATGATCTCACCGGGAATACTGCCTAGACATGGTTTCCACCTGATCTTTCGGTTAATATTTTCCCGTCATTTCCCACGTCTCCCGACGAAGTGGCCCTTGTTGTTCTTTCCATGGCAGGTCCGCAATCCCAGAGCGCCAGTGCGCTGAGGTTTTGCTCTTCGGCATTCTGGCAATTGAGGTCAAGCGCCGGGCACCCACAGCTCACACAGTCTGTGAGATGGTGCGTGCCAGGTGGGGGAAGGGTGCCCACATCACATTCCTTATCTTTGCTCTATTGGCAAACGTCATTGTGACTTCCATGTTGCTGCTGGGCGGGGCCGCCACGGTGAACGCCTTGACGGGTGTCGACACCAACCTTGCATCCTTCCTTATCCCGTGGGGGGTGATTTTGTACACAGCGGCAGGCGGCCTGAAAGCCACATTCATGGCTTCCTACCTGCACACGGCCATCATTTTCATTGTGCTGGTGATTTGTGTGTACACGGTGTACGTAAAGAATTTCTCGTCTGACTTCATTTACGAGAGACTGCAGACGGTTGCTGGCTACAGCACAGCTCAATGTCAGTCCATCTTCAGCTCAGGTGGTACTACATTCTTTGAAGCTGGCAAGTATGCGTGCGGCCCTGTGCCAGAGAACGAGGGGGGCTCGTACTTGACCATGCTTTCAGGCGGTGGTGCCAAGTTTGGTATCATCAATATTGTGGGCAACTTCGGCACTGTCTTCGTAGACCAATCCTACTGGCAGTCAGCCATCGCAGCCAAGCCCACTAGTGCTCACAAGGGCTACTTCCTTGGCGGTTTGGTTTGGTTTACGATTCCTTTTGCTTTGGCCACATCTTTGGGCCTCTGCGCCGTGGCCTTGGAGCTTCCAATCTCATTTTCTGAGGCCAGTAGCGGGCTGGTGCCCCCAGCAGTTGCTACACACCTTTTCGGAAGTTTTGGGTCTGTGATGATGGCTGTGATGCTCTTCATGGCCATCACTTCCACTGGCTCAGCAGAAGGCATTGCAGTGTCTTCTCTAGTGACTTATGACATTTATAAGACCTACTTGAACCCCCAGTGCACAGGAAAGCAAGCTCTCCTGATTTCCAAGATTGTTGTGGTTGTGTTCGGTCTTTTGATGGGTGGTCTTGGGGTGGCCTTGAACTACATGGGCTTGAACCTGGGTTGGGTCTACAAATTCATGGGCAACGCAATTGGTTCTGCAGTGGTTCCTTTTTGGAATCTGCTGATGTGGAAGAAAGCTAACGCAACAGGAGCCATTGTGGCCGCTTGGGGTGGAATGATTTTGGCTTTGGCCACTTGGCTGGCTGTTTGCCAGGTAGAGTTCGGCGAAATCACGATTGACAACCTTGGCACCCTGAACCCAAACTTGGCTGGAAATGTTGTGGCCTTGGCATCTTCTGCCATAATCCACGCTGCCTTCTCATTCGTCAGCCCGCAAAACTACGATTTCGATTCTATGGGCGAGATCGAAATGTTGGAACATGACATGAGCGGCCTTGACGAGCAGGATTATACCACTGAGTTCTTGGATGCTGCCAAGTGGTGGATTCAGAAGTGGGGCTGGGGCTTCACGATCCTCATGGTTCTGATTTGGCCCTTGCTTTCCCTGCCGGCTGGCGTGTTCACGAAGGACTTGCTGAGATGCCTCAACATCTCAAGCACTTGCACTTGGTAGTCCTGTTTGCTGCTTGTTGCATGACTGACCATAAGACACAATTTTTACGGCGTTGCCGTTTTAATCGCCCGCGTCGCATCTCTTTTGAAATCCGTGCCAGGACTACTTTTCATTCTGGGTATTCATAAGCATTGCTTGGAGCTTCGTGGCCACATTCGTGATCATCGTTCTGCCTATACAGGAGTCCATGGATTCTATCCTGGGCGTTTGCTCCTGGATGTTTGGGAAAGAAGCGCCCAAGGCAGAGAAGACTGCCGAGCCTACAGGTGCTGACTTGTGAGCAGGCCTAGAAAACGTGTTAATTAGTGCCGCAGGTGAGTTTTGTGCCTATCACTAGTTTTGGGACGTGCTCCTAGGTTGATTTGCAAAGGCGATGAAAGGTTGAAGCTTCGCTCGCCTATTAACATGGGTTTGCCTCTTTTGCCGCAAGCGTAATCAGTTGGCCCATCCGTGAGGCGTTGTGATTTTCCTCCTTCGGCTCAATTTGCTGGGGCCGGAGCAGCGGAGCTTGTTGCACCTGGCCCTGGGCGCAAAGCGCCACAAGCAAAGTCCGGAGATGGCAGCGCGAGAAGACAGAAAAGCATGCAGGACGGTTTGCGAGGGGCTTCCTTTTCAAGTTTGTTTTTAAGGTGCGGAAGCTTTTTTCCCATAGGTGGATTGTTGGGGGCATCACCAGTTCAGAGCTGCGGTTCCCTACAAGCTGGACATATACGCAAGAATTGACTTGGCCTCATCTAATAGGGCATGACGCAAGAGCAAGAGCAAGGGTGAAACACAGAGCGATTACACTGATTACACTGAGGAAGGTACGTTGCCGCGTCTCTTGCACACCTGAAGAAGATGGCCACCTATGGTAATTATCTCCTTGGGAATTCACCTAGATAGTTCGGACCTGACTCTGCAATTACACAATCACGTGTCCTAAGTCCTGGGAAATACGACCCCAGAGACGGCATTTACAGAACAAGGGGTATCGTTCGTTGCCTGGGTTGTTTTAGTTGGCCTTGGCTGGCCAAGGTTTGAGGCCAGGCACGTCAGCAGCACCTCGTCAGAGCAACCTCTTGCGTTGAAGGAAAACAAAATCAAAATCAAAGCCATGCTTTGCGCGGGGCTGCTGGCCCAGCTTCTGTGTAGATTCAGTGTAGATGTTATTTTTGTTACAATGAGACGGTGCTTGACTTTTTGCCCGAATGATGCGGCGAAGGGGTCGGGTGTCTTACATGAAATCGGTTGCAGTGACGCAACTTTTATGCAAAGATGCGACTTGCATGGCATCGTATGTCGTATGTGAAGATGTGACCTGCATGGCATGACACGGATGCAGTGCATGAGTCAACCCGCCATTTAAGGTGTGAATGTCTAGATGCCTTGATTTAACAGCACGTGTGAACAGGCATGTTCGGCATGTTTGACATGCAAGGCTTTGCAAGATGACTTAGAAGATGGGTGTTGGCGTTGTTTCCTTGCTTTGCAACGTGCTGCTTGGGTATCCAGATGCGCTACACAACTTTCCAGGCTTGCGATTTCATTTTCTTACACGATCTTTCATGTACCCGGCAACCGACTTCGCACTTGGCAATGTACTTGGCCGCCTACTTAATTTAGAATGACTTGCGGAGAACCATTTGCTTAATCTCACTTGCACAGGGTGAATTAGCATACCACTTGCACTGGCTTGTTTGTGCAGCACTTGCCTAGAATTTCTTGCGTAGCTCTTGCATAAGATTGCTTGCACAGCACCTGCGTAGGATTACTTGGGTAGTGTT